GTTCAGTTTTTGCTTACTGTCAAGTGTCCATGCACTCAGGGTAAAAAAGTGTCAACGCACTCGGGCTTTGTTTAGTTCCAGGATATATGGTATAGAGTTTTTGGGTGTCACATCGGGTGTCATATGAGAGTGTTGTATGAAACGTTCGTATACTAATAAAAAAATAAATTACAGAATCCGTAAGTAAACCGCGAGACCAATTTATTAAGCCTAATTAATCCATCATTAGCACATGTGTTAATATAGCACTTTATTGTCAAATCATGGACTTAGGTTTAAAAAATTTGTCTCGTAAATTAGTCGCAATCTGTATGATTAGTTATTTTTTTAGTCTATATTTAATACGCTATGCATATGTCTAAACATTTGATGAAATATAGTGTAAACTTTTGATAAAGAACTAAAAAGGCCTCAGCTAGTCACTGTCATCCTCATGTGCTCCGGCTAGAATATTTTGTTCGATTTTGAAACGAGCATTTGCTCACTTTATTTTTCCGCCAAAATGCAGGTGCTGCATGAAGCGGCTAGGCTCAAGTCCAAGAGCCTGCAAAATCGAAAACTTGTACTAAACGGTGTATTTGGATGTGATTTCTAAAGGTTATATAAGGTACATGTTGCCAAAAGTCGTATAAGGTACATAGTATTTCTTAAAACTCACCTCTTTTTTTTATCCATTCTTACGTGTCGTGCCCACATGTCCTGTGAAATCCATCTTTCTTCTTCCTACACCAAAATCTTTCTTCTTACGTCCTACACCAATCGGATGGTTGCGAGTGACTAGTAGTGCAAGATGGCCGCACCGACGAGCAGGGACACGAGCCACGGGCGTGAGGTGGCCACACCGGCGACGAGGCGCGAAGGAGTAGCGACAGTCGAGCGGCGGAGTCAGGTGCAGGGTGGCGATGGTGCGAGTCGCGGGCGTCCGTCAAGCAATGGCATGAGCGCGACCGACCACGACAGTTCCACCGTGGGACCCACGAATAAATGCACCGTCGGCCCTGTTCGTTTCGCTGAAAAAAAGCCGAAACATGGTTCCAGTTGATTTGTTGTGAGAGAAAAATACTGTTCCAGCTGGAAAAATAAGCTGAAAAGTACGGATTATAAGACAAGTGAACAGGACCGTCGTCTCCTTTCTTTACGGGAGAGGAGGTAGACTTTAAGATATCTCTCAATGTTTTTAAGGAAAGGAAATCCTATAGAAGACGTGCCGAAGCAATCAAATCTCCAGCTAAGATTTTATTTAAGGATAGGAGAGGAGATGAGATATTTGATGATGTTGCTCTAAGACTCTAGATTTCAATAAAATTTCTATATAACTCTTGTTATAAAATTCTTACCGTTCCAAAGGATATCCTGAAGCTAACACTAATAATAAAACAAATGAATGCCACAACGCCTTTGAAAAATCCTGGCAGCGAACTGCCGCCTCCACAAGCATCGTTTTTGGAATTAAAAAAGGAAGGCTGTGTTGACGCTGAAAATCAACAAAGAGTGGCTAATGAGTAGATTGCTTCATTTTCGTAGAAGCGTCACGACTAGTTTTCGAACAAACTAGTAAAGGAATAGGGATAATTTCTTCGATTACGACAAAGAATCGAACCGGCTGCTTTATGAGCAAGAACAACAAAGAATGACACTCCAATGACGCCGTAGCTCGTGGCTTGTTTGCGGAAAACTAGCAAAGCATGGCTTGTTTGCAAAAAATAGAAGAAAGTATAAGAACTTGATAATAGTGGATCGGTTTTGTGTCAATTGTGTTAGAGAACATAAATTGGCCGTACCCCCCATAGTATATATGGGTCGCCGGGTCTTCGACAGAATTGGAGTCCTATACAGTTAGGTACATCTCTTTTGGTCATAGACTGAAAAAAATTTATTTTATTGGCCATGCAACTCAAGAAGTACGGATATCAGTCAAAAATGCATACGACTGCTAATGTTACCGTTAAGATGTCCGAAACGTTAGACGCCTCGCTCCACTTACTACCGCATGCACTGCTCGCCTAAAAGAACAAAATAAACTCTCGCATGCCTCGCTCCACTCCACTTCACTCCTCAAGACGCTTGGCCTTCATTCGCTCTGAAGTCGCAAATGCGTGGTGCAGACCTACAGTAGCGCATTCATGAAGTCGCGTCGCTTCGGCTACCGCTGCCTGCCAGTGTGCCAGTGAGGCCGCTACCTCCTCGCCTGTCTGTCGCATGACCCTTTGTCGAGCCGTTGCCTACAATCACCGTTGGGCCGCTGCCTCCGGCAAACTTCACATGCTGACGAGCCTCTATTTTCCCCAGCAGCAAGGAGATGTTTGCGCTGAAACTGTATGTTGCAAGCGTCTGTTTTAAATGTTTCAAATATTTTAGAGGTATGTTACAAGTGTTTTATACGGATATTGCAAAAGTAGATTGAGATGTTACACATGTTGCAATGGTTGTACACGTATGTTGTGAGCTCCTGTTCTCACTGTTTCATCTGTTTTTTTATGTATGTTGCAAGTGTGTTTATCTGGATGTTCCATATGTTTTTCACACATATCATGCAAGTATTTTATCTAGATGTTGCGTATGTTTACAATGGTTTCAAGTGTTTTTGCAAGTGTTTCAGACGCATGTTTCAAACGTTTTATTTGTTTTCTGACGTATGTTGCAATTGCTGCATCTGGATGTTTCAAAACTAGATCGAGTGAAGCATCTCTCTCCTTGCCTTTTTCTGCTGTCTCACCTCGGTGTCAGGCCCGGAAAGGTAGAGGCGGTCCCCACTGGTGTGGGTGGACCCCACGTGCTTGTGGATGGGCGCAGCAGGGTGAGATGTGGGCGAGCAGGCGCTGGCGTCCGGACAGAGGGCTAGCGTCCGAACAGAGAGCGCTAGCCGCACTCTTGCTTGATCGGCCAAATAACCAACACTTGCAAAAAATACTTTCCTCCTTTGTCGAGTATTCTCCAATCCGATTCAACTTCAACCTTTTCCTGTTTCTCTTTGCTTTCTTCCCATAATAACTGAGCCAATGCAACATGTATGCAATTTGTCTTCCATCATATGACCCACAGGCTCATGCCTGAGATCCCAACAACTCTGTCATGTCCCATGCCTTTTGCACACCAATGCAACGCCAACACCAGCTAATCCTGAAGATTAATCGGCCTGTTCGCTTGGTCATATTTGGCTGACAAGTCATGGTTTACCAGCCAACAAACAATGTTTTTCTCTTACACCAAACCAGCTAACTGTACTTTCAGCCATGCCTTATAAGCCAAATCAGGCCAAACGAACATAGCGAATATTGTTCCTTCCTGTTTGTCTCCTGTGCTGCTTGTCATGTCCCATGCATTTTGCACACCAATGCAACGCCAACACCAGCTAATCCTGAAGATCAATCGACCTGTTCACTTGGTCATATTTGACTTATAAGTCATGGTTTACCAGCCAACGAATAATGTTTTTCTCTCACACCAAACTAGCCAACTGTACTTTCAGCCATGCCTTATAAGCCAAATCAGGCCAAACGAACATGGCGAATATTGTTCCTTCCTGTTTGTCTCCTGTGCTGCTTCCATTAATTAGCTAATGGATCAATACAAAATATTTATTAGCAGCCGAATTAGCTCGTTGACAAATTAGACCAGCTAATGGAAATATTTCTCAGCTAACAAATAAACAAGCTATTGCTAAAGCCAAATTTACTAACAAAATTGGCCAGCCAAATTATGCTATCAAACAGGTTGGCTGTAATTTCTTGTCGGAGCAATCAAAGGACCTGTTCACTTGAAGAAATTTTAGAGGAATTAGATGGGTTGGAGGAATACTGAAAGAATTTATGAGAGAAAAATACTATTTCACATGGAAAAAAAAAAGAAACGAATCAAGTCGAGGACACGTGAACAGTGCCGAAGGAGCCGAGCCAACCTACCTAGCTGCCTGTCCCGACTCGGCGACTCCCTCCCGACCACAGCGGACGTCGGGGCGGGGGTGATGATAGCTGCCGGATGCCGCCACGCCTCGTCGCGGCTACGGACGGGCACTGACACCGTGCGCGGCGTACGAGGCCGCCCACTCCGGTGCGCAGGGCAGGGTGGGTCGACGAGCCCGAGACGCTCTGACACGCCTCGTCGCTCGCGGCGGCACACGCCACCGCACGGGCCCGCGCCGCTGCGGCTGGGCCCGGCAGGTAACAAATGCCCCAGACCAAGGGCAGTTGGACCCGTACCGCACGCGCCCCGTGCTGCCTGCCCTGCTTGCGTAGAGCGTCCTTCCTAGGCCGCGCAGCCGCAGCAGAGGCCCGCGCCCATGCGCCCTAGGCCCGATCCGGACCCACCTAGGCCCGGTCCACCGCAGCACACCCTGGCCCCCTGCGTCCATGCCCCGCACGTCAGTGGGAGACCGACCGCTCCCGTGCGCCGGGCGCAGCGTGGTTCCCGTCTCCGCCCTCCTCTTCCTCGCCTCGAAGCCCCTCCTCTCCCCCTAGAGGCCAGAGCCCCACCCGCTTCGTCGAGTCCCCCTCGGCTCGCCTCCCTCAAATCAAATCATCAGAGCAAGCTGGGAGGAGCAGGCGAGGGACGGCAGGGAGAAGGCAATCAGAGCTGGGAAGGACAGACAGAGAGAGAGAGTGAAGAGAAAGAGTAGCGTTGATACACCGTCGAATCTAATCGAATCGAATCGAGCCCCTTCTCCGCCCCACCCCCATATCGGAATCGGAACCCCGCATCGCCATCGCCACCCCTTTCCACTCTCCACTCCCTTCCACCTCGCCCCGCCCCCTGCGCTTGCGTGATTCGTACGGTTTATCACCGCCTCTTTCTCTTCCACTCTCTCTCCGTGGTTGGGTTCGGTTCGGTCCCGGTCCGCCCGCCGCCGCCGCCGCGGCGCCCACAAGTAGTAGCGACATTCGTCTTCGCCTCCTCTCTGATTCTTATTCTGATTCCCCCTGTGTTCTCCTCTGCTGGTTGATTAGTGGAGGCGTTGTTGTGGCCTGTAACTGTCGGCGTGGCTGCTGTTGCTGCAGAGCGAGATGGTGGGAGGGCCAGGAGGCGGCGATGCCGGCGGCGAGCACGCGGCGGCGGCGTACTGGTACGACGCGTGCGAGGACGGCGCCTCCCTGCTCTGCAGCATCGACTTCGCCGCGTCCGCCGACTTCGACCCGGGCCTCATGCCGGCCATGGACTGCGGCGCCGACGACGGCTTCGTCGCCGAGATCGACCGGATACTCGAGAGCATCAACGCCGAGGCCGCCCCCGCGCCGCTGCCGCCGCCTCCTGCGCCTGCGCCTGCACCAGAGCCAGCGCCCGTGGCTCCGCTGCAGCCGCAGCTGCAGTTGCAGGAGGTGGCTGCGACCGTGGCCCACAATGCGGTGGCGGTGTCCGACGTGCCGCAGAGGACCCAGGCCGTGGAGGCGAGGAAGGAGCCCAGGAGAGAGTCCCCGACCGCCGCGGCCAATGGCAGCGCGGAGTGCAGGGACGACAAGCGCCAGCGTCTCGTTGCGGGTGGTACCGGGGGACCGCGCCACGACTGGCGGCGGCGTCCGATGCTGCCGCCGCCGCCGCTGCCGCCTCCATCCCGTGGGTGGGAGGACCGGCGCAGAAGGCGGGACTACGAGAGGCCTCGCAAGCGCGACCGCGACGGTCACTACGGCCATGATCACCACCGACGCGACGCTCGGGGTTTCTGGGAGCGTGACCGCGGCGGCAAGATGGTGTTCCGCCATGGCATGTGGGAGGCTGAGGCGGACCGCCAGGGAAAGCGTGCCAGGACGCAGGATGGATGCCCTGCCGCGGAGAATAAGGCAGGGGTGGATCGGGCGGGGAACGAGAAGCCTGTCACCGAGGAGAAGGCTAGGCAGTACCAGCTCGAGGTGCTTGAGCAAGCAAAGAGCAGGAACACTATCGCTTTCCTTGAAACTGGTGCGGGGAAGACTCTCATAGCTGTGTTGCTCATCAAAAGCATCTGTGACAAAATGCTCAAGGAGAACAAGAAGATGCTTGCTGTTTTCTTGGTGCCTAAGGTGCCTCTTGTGTATCAGGTACAGACACAAGAGTGAGCCTTCAGACATTCAGGTCGCAAATGTTCTTGATATACAATTATATTTTCTTGGTGGAATTGCAGCAAGCTGAAGTAATACGTGAGAGGACTGGCTTTCGGGTTGGGCACTACTGCGGCGAGATGGGGCAGGATTTCTGGGATTCTAGAAAGTGGCAGCGTGAGTTTGAGTCAAAACAGGTAAACACCTTTGTGTGGCCGTACTTTTAATTCCAAACTATTTTCAGATACAATGCCCCATGGCCAAGCTCTGATCAAACCTGTGCTTAGGTCACTTGAGTTAGGAAACTATAGTGTTTTACTAAGTTTTCGAGTTAACTGGTTAGTAGCCGAGACACTTGCTGACTTGCATTAAGTCTCATTGTTTCTGTGCAGATTATTAATTTCTAAAAAAAAGTCTCGCTCTAGATGTAATTTTCTCACCTACTATGCCATTAAATTTCATTGTTTCTTTGCAGAATATTAGTTTCTAAAAAAAATATTGCTGTAGATGTAATTTTAGTATCTGCTGTGTCATTGGCAATTACTGCATTTTGTCTCCTCAGAATAATTCCTTTATATGTTTGAGTATATTAGTGCACTTGTTACCTAAGAAAACTAATTATGTTTTACTAGTCCATCTGATAATAGTTTGTACTCACTGATTCAATGTGGTGGCCTAAATCTTACCAGCTGTTTTTTCATTTTCTTGTCTGTATTTGTCCTTGAGATATAAGGTGGATTTCTTGATAATCATCAAGATTGTATAGATGTAATTGTACCAGTTATTGCACAGATAATGTCCTTGTGCTTTGCTTCATACTACGAGAGCTCGTAGGCAATATTGTTAATCTGATATGAAAAGACTACAGATAGATGGATTAGCAGAGAGACCCCGGATAGCTACCCTTCCTCGGTGACTATCTTAGGATCTTCTTGCTTGACTTTAACTGATACATGATGGCCCCCTTTAATAGAGACAACTTACTTGACCCCTAAGTAATATCCTAACCGAATCAATCTATCTTATCTCTCCTAACAAACCAAATCAATCTAATCTAATCAGGCCGGCACTGGTCACGCGCTACAGTACCGCGTGGGCCCTGGGGCCGGCTCCACTTGCCATAACATAATCCAAGTCACCCCAACCCCTCCTTTGTCCATCTTCGTGCCCTAGCCGATGCCCCCAGTAAGGCTGGTGGTCATGTCCTCCACCTCCATTATTCCAAATCTGTTTAACTGGAACTCTCATGGTTCTGGAATGCAATATGTTTAACTCATCTGTATCCTATATATTCTTTCTTGCACCTAGTTTGTTCTAACATGGTTTATATGGACAAGTTGAAGTTTCTTGACTTGCCGGAGCCGGTAAGTGATAAAAAAACTTGGGGGGGAGGGGGATCCTTCTTGCTTATTTTAAGGATCATGGTAGATGTGTTTGTTGCCTTGAAAGTCAACTAAGCACCTTTAGTCTCACCATTTGCTTACATTTAATAAGATAACATGTGTAGCAAGTAAATCATCTTTTTTCGTGTATTGCTTCAGTAGGATGTTTGTTGTGTCTGTTACTTATTCATGTCTCACGCAGGTACTTGTTATGACAGCTCAAATTTTGTTGAACATCCTTAGGCACAGTATTATTAAAATGGATGCCATACATCTTTTGATTTTAGATGAGTGCCATCATGCAGTGAAAAAGCACCCATATTCTCTAGTGATGTCAGAATTCTATCACACCACTCCAAAGGACAAGAGGCCAGCTGTGTTTGGCATGACTGCTTCACCTGTTAACTTGAAGGGTATGTCTCTCCTTAGTGTATCCTTGTTATTCCATGTACATTTTTCTTTGGCAGATCCTGTCTCATATTTAGATTTACTGCTCCTTTGCCTTCTATTATATGTATGTTTTTCTGATGCTTAGTACTACTATCTGGATAGGAGTGACTAGCCAAGAAGATTGTGCTATCAAGATACGAAATCTTGAGAGTAAACTGGATTGTGTAGTCTGTACGATCAAAGATCGGAAAGAGCTAGAGAAACATGTTCCCATGCCTTTGGAATTCATTGTCCACTATGACAAAGCAGCCACTCTTTTGTCTTTCCATGAACAAATCAAACAAATGGAGGCTGCAGTTGAAGAAGCTGCACTTTCTAGTTCTAAGAGAACTAAATGGCAGTTCATGGGAGCTAGAGATGCAGGGTCTAGAGATGAGCTACGCCTTGTCTATGGTGTTTCTGAACGTACAGAAAGTGATGGTGCGGCTAATTTAATTCAGAAGTTGAGAGCTATAAACTATGCTCTGGGTGAACTAGGACAGTGGTGTGCTTACAAGGTACTGCTTCACATTTAACAGTGAACTAGTGTATTGCTGGCTGTCTTGTGTTTCTAACTGCTATATCTGCTTAATTTCAGGTTGCACAGTCATTCTTGACAGCACTACAGAACGATGAAAGGGCCAACTACCAGGTTGATGTTAAGTTTCAAGAGTCATACTTGAAAAAAGTAGTTGATTTGTTACACTGCCAGTTGACTGAAGGGGCTGCAATGAAAAGTGATAGCAATGATGTTGAAACGCATAATTCTGAAAACCCCAAGCCAAATGAACTTGAGGAGGGAGAGCTACCTGACAGTCATGGTATTAATAGTCTTTCTTTCTCTTGCAAAATGTGTTCTGTGGCCACCTTTTTCTTTTTAACCTTCCCCAATGAATTTCCATTTTTCCTTCATTCTACAATTAGCACCTATTTTGTTTTTTCTTTGTCCTTTATTATACCTGAGGGTATACAATTAGCACCTATTTTGTTTATTTTTTGTCCTTTATTATACCTGAGGGTATCTCAGCCTCACTTTTAACGCTGTATGCTGTTATTTCCCACTAGCTGTTTCTGTAGGTGAACATGTAGATGAAGTCATTGGTGCCGCAGTGGCCGATGGAAAAGTTACTCCAAGGGTGCAAGCTTTGATAAAAATACTTCTCAAGTATCAGCACACTGAGGATTTTCGTGCTATCATATTTGTAGAGCGAGTGGTTACAGCATTAGTCCTTCCTAAGGTAGGGAGTAGGGACTATGTTTTCCACATCTTAAGATCAATTACTTCTGAACCTTTTATGAATTCTCTGACCTGTTTCCCTTTCATGACCGCTTAGGTCTTTGCAGAACTTCCATCGTTGGGCTTTATACGGTGTGCAAGTTTGATAGGTCATAACAATAACCAGGAGATGCGGTCATGCCAAATGCAGGATACAATCGCAAAATTTCGTGATGGCCGTGTATGTTTCTATTCATGACATGATTTAACATATTGTTTGATGTGGCACACCCACCTTTTGTGAGTTTAGCTATGTTGCTAGCTAGGCTTAACGATCTGCATTCAGTGATCCTGTGCAGTCTGCTAAATTTCATGATGTCCAAGTATGTTTCTACTCATGACAGAATTCTACATTCATATTTTTCGTTCCAAGTACATATCTGTTGTAAGTTTAAAACTATGTTTAACTGTGTGCTGTGCATATGTGCATATCTACGTTTAAAAATAGATATGTCCAAGTACATATCTGTTGTACTTTAGGGGTATATATATTGGAGATGATTTGTGTCTCATACACCAGTTATAAAAAAACCTCTGTTATGGGTTTGCAGGTTACACTGTTAGTTGCAACTAGTGTCGCAGAGGAAGGACTTGATATTCGGCAGTGCAATGTTGTCATTCGCTTTGACCTTGCAAAGACTGTTTTGGCCTACATTCAGTCTCGGGGTCGTGCTAGAAAGCCTGGATCTGACTACATATTGATGCTTGAAAGGTAATTATGTGTCACCAAAACTGTTGATACCATTAAAATATGCTCCGTGAATCCATCGACTTATATAAATTAATTGTGCCAGAGGAAATTTGTCTCATGAAGCTTTCTTGAGAAATGCTCGGAATAGTGAAGACACATTGAGAAAAGAAGCTATTGAGAGAACTGATCTCAGTCATCTTGATGGCACTTCTATGCTAAGCCCTGTTGATACATCACCTGATTCTATGTACCAGGTTGAATCAACAGGTGCTGTTGTCAGTCTGAACTCTGCAGTTGGACTCATACATTTGTACTGCTCACAGCTGCCGAGTGACAGGTACATAACTTCTTGTGATTTGTTTGGTATACTAGCTCAATTGATTTTTGAAATCGCAGGCTCATCAGTAGTTTCCTACTTCCAGATACTCTATTCTTCGACCGGAATTTATTATGCAAAAGCATGAGAAGCCAGGGGGTTCAACGGAATATTCTTGCAAACTTCAACTCCCTTGTAATGCTCCATTCGAGAAGCTTGAAGGTCCTATATGCAGTTCAATACGCCTGGCACAACAAGTAATGACAGTTCACTGGAACACATTATTATTCAGTTTTTTCTGTACATTTTATCCATTAGTTTGAACCGTGCCTGGTTCTTTTTGTGCAGGCTGTTTGTTTATCTGCTTGTAAGAAGCTGCATGAGATGGGTGCCTTCACAGATATGCTTTTACCTGACAGAGGAAGTGGGGAAGGAGAAAAGACTGAACAAAATGATGAAGGTGATCCACTGCCTGGAACAGCACGCCATAGAGAGTTCTTTCCTGAAGGGGTTGCTGAAATTCTGCGGGTTAGTGTTTCCTTTCTCACATTACCTGAGCTTGAACTTAACTTAGTCTTAATGGTCCTTTGCGAATTGCGATCTGCTGGTACTTTTGGTTTCTAATTAGTTTCATTTCACTGAACTTTGTTTTCAACAGGGAGAATGGATTTTATCTGGAAGAGATGGTTACCAAAGTTCACAGTTTATTAAGTTATATTTGTATTCTGTGAACTGTGTAAACATTGGGACTTCAAAGGACCCTTTTGTTACACAACTTTCAAATTTTGCTCTTATTTTTGGCAATGAGCTGGATGCAGAGGTAATTTTTTCCCCCTGGTGATAGTACGCAACTTGAGAAATGAAGGTTTAAAAGTCTATAATGTTTCGATATTTTAGGTTTTATCGACGACGATGGATCTCTTTGTTGCTAGGACAATAATAACAAAGGCATCTCTCGTATTCCGTGGACCAATTGAAATTACTGAAAGTCAGGTTGATTTTCTTTGCAATGAAGCATCAAAGTTCATTTCCATATTTTTACATTAATGTTGCTAATCATGCTCATGTTCTTCCAGCTGATCCTGCTGAAGAGCTTTCATGTTAGGCTCATGAGCATAGTACTTGACGTTGACGTTGATCCCTCAACAACTCCATGGGATCCAGCAAAAGCATACCTCTTTGTTCCTGTGGGAGCTGAGAAATGTATGGATCTTTTAAGAGAGATAGATTGGACTCTAGTTAACAGCATTGTGAACTCTGATGCCTGGAACAACCCTCTTCAGAGGGCACGCCCAGATGTCTATCTTGGCACGAATGAAAGGACACTTGGCGGAGATAGGAGGGAATATGGGTTCGGGAAGTTGCGTCATGGAACTGCATTTGGACAGAAAGCCCACCCTACGTATGGTATTAGAGGAGCCATCGCTGAATTTGATGTTGTCAAAGCATCTGGATTAGTTCCTGGTCGTGGGCGGGGACATTTTAATGATTATCAAAACCAAGGCAAGTTGTTCACGGCAGATTCATGTTGGGATGCTAAAGATCTTGCTGGAATGGTTGTAACTGCCGCCCACTCAGGAAAAAGGTTCTATGTGGACAGTATTTGCTACAACATGAATGCAGAAAATTCGTTCCCTAGGAAAGAGGGCTATCTGGGTCCCTTGGAGTACAGCTCGTTTGCTGATTACTACAAGCAGAAGTAAGATAAGTTTTGAATGCTGAAAGCAAAAGGAGTTCTCTCTTAGCTCTGGCTGTTTTTGCTTTCCCTTTTTGTCAAAGTAGCTTTATCACAGCATATCATGATCCTTCTTGTTTTTCCTCTCAGGTATGGTGTGGAGTTAATTTATAAGAAACAACCTCTTATACGGGCACGTGGTGTTTCATACTGCAAAAATCTACTTTCTCCTAGATTTGAGCATTCTGAAGGTAAAAGCTATGCATTTCTTTTTTGAGATTTCATTTAGATTTTTTTTGTTTGCCTTAATATTTTACTATTCATTGATGTTTTTGTCTTACAAGCCCATCCAAGACTTCCCATTCAGCCCTATATTAATTTAATAAAGAAATACAAACTTAGTGCTTAATATACTTGCAAATGGGAAAGTGTTTTGTATAATGGATTTGTACTACTATTGTTTTGCAGCTGGCAATGGAGAGTTCTCAGAGAATCTTGACAAAACATACTATGTATATTTACCACCCGAATTGTGCCTTGTGCATCCTCTTCCTGGATCACTTGTTCGTGGAGCTCAGAGGTTACCCTCAATAATGAGAAGGGTGGAGAGCATGCTTCTTGCAATTCAACTGAAGGACATAATTGGTTATCCAGTTCCTGCAAATAAGGTACACCTGCAGCTCTCAAGCCTACATGTTTTCCCTTTCTAATGTCCCCTGGTAGAATTTACCGGTTAATGGAACACTTAAATTTGTCCTTTCTATATTACACCACTGTCTTCTATGGAGATGTTAAAGACTACATGCAAACTAAGTGGAGCACGCAATGACACCTCTAGGCCTTCATTGTGGCTCCTAGCCTTGGTGGATCGTGTCTGTTAACAAGAAAAAAATGTTAAACAAACCAATACTAATGCTAGTTTTGTACATGATAATAGGCAGGGTAAATTTAAGGGTCTATTCTTCTGAAAAGATCATGCTTGTTTGCCTTATGAAAAAAATGTGGAAATACCATAAACCCGTTATCTATTCACCTAGATTCATCATGCAATAGCTAAATGTTATTCTCAAATAAACTTGAAATTCTGCACATCGATTAATAGCTTTTTTTTTTCGCTTAGTTGGGAGTGTGATGTTGGAATGTGTGCCCTTAGGGGCCCAGGTTTACGGGCCTTTTGTATAAACTCTCTTTTCCATCTTAATCGAGAGGTAGAGCTCCTGCCATTTTTTTTTAAGATTAATACCTTTTTGTTTGTGGTTCACAGATATTAGAAGCCTTGACTGCTGCGTCATGCCAGGAGACATTCTGCTATGAAAGAGCAGAGCTGCTGGGTGATGCATACTTGAAATGGGTTGTGAGTAGATTCCTTTTCCTAAAATATCCTCAAAAGCACGAGGGACAGCTCACAAGGATGCGGCAGCAGATGGTTAGCAACATGATCCTGTATCAATATGCTCTGGATAAAAACCTCCAATCTTATATCCAAGCAGATCGGTTTGCTCCATCAAGATGGGCAGCTCCAGGAGTGTTACCTGTATTTGATGAAGAAACAAGAGATTCTGAACCATCCATCTTTGATGAGGAATTTACTCCTAGCAGTGTGTTACAAAAGAACTCGTATGATGACTATGGAGATAGCATGCAAGAAGACGGTGAAATTGAGGGAGATTCTAGCTGCTATCGTGTTCTATCAAGCAAAACATTAGCAGATGTTGTGGAAGCACTTATTGGTGTCTATTATGTAGCAGGAGGGAAAATTGCTGCAAACCATCTGATGAAATGGATCGGTATTAATGCACAGTTGGATCCTCAAGAGATCCCTTCTTCAAAGCCATATAACATACCTGAGAGCATAATGAAAAGCATCAATTTTGACACATTAGAGGGTGCATTGGGTATCAAGTTTCAGAATAAAGGCTTACTTGTTGAAGCTATAACGCATGCATCAAGACCATCATCAGGTGTTTCCTGTTACCAGCGCTTGGAATTTGTTGGTGATGCTGTATTGGATCATCTCATTACGAAGCACTTATTTTTTACTTATACCGACCTACCTCCGGGCCGCTTGACTGACTTGAGAGCTGCAGCTGTTAATAATGAGAACTTTGCAAGGGTTGCAGTTAAGCATAAGCTGCATGTACATCTTCGCCATGGATCATCTGCATTGGAGACACAGGTGGGCCATTCTTAATGTTCAGTAGTGAACTGGCCATTCTTAATGTTCAGTAGTGAACTTCCTTACTCCCTCCATTCCAAATTATAAGACGTCTTGGCTTTTCTAGATGCATAGCTTTTTATGCACTTAGAAATACATTATGCCTAGATGCATAGTAAAAGAAATGTATCTAGAAAAGCCAAAACGTCTTATAATTTGGAATGGAGGGAGTATGTGTAAGCCAAAATGTATCTAGATCCAATACAAAAGGCCTCCAATATCCTATAGCAACCTATCCGTTTACAATATCTTACAATCTTGTGATCCAATAAGAGGCCTATCAATGCACTGTTCTGCAATATCCTATAGCAACCTATCAACGCACTGTTCTGCACATCTTACAATCTATTCACCTATATATGCTGTAATGTTTGAACTAGAGTTCTGTTATGTTGAAATTATTGCCACCTTTTGGAAGCAGTGCTGACTATTTTCCCTCTATCCTCTGAAGATTCGAGAGTTTGTGAAGGATGTCCAGGTGGAGCTTTCGAAACCATGTTTCAATTCTTTTGGGCTTGGGGATTGTAAGGCTCCTAAGGTTCTTGGAGACATTTTTGAGTCTATTGCTGGCGCAATATTCCTGGATAGTGGGTGTGATACCTCTATAGTCTGGAAGGTAGTTTCTGTATCCTTTGGAATGAAATTCTGTTCATCCTCGTGTGGAAAATACTAAAGTTTCATTTTATTAATCCGTCATGTCAGGTTTTTCAGCCTCTGCTTGATCCAATGGTGACACCGGGCACCCTTCCAATGCACCCTGTAAGGGAGCTCCAAGAGCGCTGCCAGCAGCAAGCTGAAGGATTAGAATACAAAGCATCACGTACAGGCAATGTAGCTACAGTTGAAGTCTTTGTTGATGGCATACAGATTGGTGTAGCTCAGAACCCACAGAAGAAGATGGCACAAAAGTTGGCGGCTAGAAATGCACTTGTTGTCTTGAAAGAGAAGGAAACTGCAGCAAAGAAAGATACCGAAAAGGATGGCGAGAAGAAAAATGGTTCTCAGTTCACTAGGCAGACCCTGAACGACATCTGCTTGAGAAGGCAATGGCCAATGCCACAGTACAGGTGTATAAACGAGGGTGGCCCTGCCCATGCCAAAAGATTTGTTTATGCGGTAAGGGTAAATACATCTGACCGTGGATGGACTGACGAGTGCATTGGAGAGCCAATGCCGAGTGTGAAAAAGGCCAAGGACTCTGCCGCCGTTCTTCTGCTCGAGCTGCTGAATCGAAATTACCGTGACAAGCCTGATGGCAAATAATCTTTGGTGTCTTTGTGGTGGTAGTGGTAGATGTGGAAGCATTCAGTGCTTTTGAGTTTTGAGCAATGCAAATAATCTTTGTTGTTGTTCTTGGTGGCGGTAGTGGTGATATGGAGGCATTCAGCATTCTTATGCCCATTCAATGCCTTTCAGCCCTCGCAAATAAAAACATAAGCAGAGCTGAGGAGTGAGATTAGAGGATTATTATTTTTGTCTGAGGTCACTGGTTACAACTAGGTATTTACTGGTGAGGTATTGAGGTGTAACAAATAGCAGTTGCAAATTGCAATAGAGGAAAGGATAGGTTGACATAGGATATTGGAGGCCTCTTATTCATCGATTGTAAGATGTTTACAGAACAGTGCATTGATCCAATAAATTTATGTTGATATATCTTATAGTGGTATATACTAACATCTTTCTCATTTCGTCCCGCTATGTATTCAGTGCTTAGATGCTTACAAACATCTCACATTCTGTACATGTAGCAACAACATACACATGATCAAAGTGTCATTGCTTCGATGACATTTGAACAGAATGACCATGCTACACACGGTAAGCCAATTAAAATCTTTCGCGAGACTGGTCTAAAGAGATACAGAAATGAGAATCCAATTATAACAACTTAAAGATGACACTAGTCTGAGAACTGACATGATGCAACGTACATATGTCGAACAAATGCAAGCAACTCATCTTACGCAAATCCCAAAAAATGAAGAGCGACGCTACAACGCTAGACGACGGGTATGCTTTGATTCCACCGGGCGTCGGCGTTCCTGACCAAGACGAAGCAGGCAGTATCAGGCCGTGAGCTCCATGATGGCGCTGACAATGTCGCCGTCGTGCGCCTTGAGAGCCTTGACGGCCTTGGCGCGGGTGACGCTGGCCTGCGTCATGACGAGGTCGATGTCGCGGGGCTCTATCCCGGACTCGTCCACCTCCTCCTCCTCGTCGGCCGGCGTAGCCGCCGCGGCGGCCGCGTCCTGCTTGGCCATCACCTTGCTGAGGTCCTGCATCCTGAACTGCTGCGCGGCCTGCGCCTGCAGCTGGGAGCTCAGGTCCTCTATCTTGGCCTCGCCGAATATCACGTACGTCTCCGACGTCGGGCTCTTGAAGACGTCGGGCTTTGACACCACGAACAGTATCTGAAGCAGATAGATAGATAGATAGCCATGATAAGGCAAGTGTACGTGTCGCATTTGCATTGGCAAGAACATCTTGTTTGTATGCATGAACATCTTGTTTGTACGTGCGATGACAGTAATAACAAGAGCTAATTAAGAATTGCATGGTCATCTATCTTGTTTGTATACATCTTGTTGGCAAGAAAAGTTAGTTGTGTTTCTCGTGGCATATATAGATACGTACGTTCTTGGCTCTTTTGATGGTTATCCTGGTGACGCCGGTGACGGGTTTCATTCCGAGCTTCATCATGGCCTTGCGGCTCTTCTTCTCGCTGCGGCTCTGCTTGGCGCCCTCGGTTGCGCCGGCGCCTAGCTCACCTACACGGCCAAATTAAGACACCGCAGCACAAATCAGTCCCCGTCTGGCACGTGCAATAAAACTATCTGCAGTTCTGCACTGCACTCTGCAGCATGAAGGGCAGGTAGCAGAAGGTAACAAACACACACGTTACGTTACCTTCATCAGCTTCGTCGTCGTCGTCGTCGTCGTCGTCATCGTCCTCATCCTCGTCCTCGCCTTCCTTGACGTCCTCGACGACGACCGGCGCCTCGTCCTCCTTCTGCTGCTCCTCCTCCGCCTTGGGCGCGGCCTCCTCGGTCTCCACGGGCGCCGGCGCCGGCGCCTCGCTGCCCTCCACCACCTCCGCCGCCGGAGCTTGCTCGCTGACCATCCTTGCTGGGACGCGTCCGGGGTGAGCGGAGGAGGCTACGGTGGTGGTGGTGCAGCGACGCACGGGAACGGTGGCGGAGACTGAAGAGTGCTCCGGAGTCCGGATAAGGGGTGCGCCAAGACGGAGAGCGCGGCCGCAGGGCAGGGCCTTATCTATCCGTCGCAACCGTCACCCGCAGCCCGCAGGCTGCAACACCTGGGCTTTGTGTAACCGTGTTGGGCTTGGGCTCTTCCACCCCGTTCCCGTGTGGGCTTCGCGGACCCGAACGCGAACGCGGCCCGTCCGGGTGGGGTTCTAGTCGATGCTCCTCTGCACCCTACTTGTGGCGGGAGCTGGGAATCTCCGAATCTGAATTTCTGATTCTCACATGCCAATAACCGTTTCGTAACAATCTCCTACAACTAAATAAAGTGTGGATTTTTTTTTTGATACGATATTTGTTTTGGTTCGTCCGTCTATCCACGTCTGCGATCTCACGACATCTTAATTACTGATTGATCGTGCCATTCTCCTTGATTGAATATTGTCTGTCATGTGATAGAGAAATCACGATAAAATAGGAAGTAGAAAATTATTATGCTATCCATATACACATTGCATGTTTACATGCACTAGCATACATGGCAAGGAGCAAAAGGAAAGAGAATTAACACAGAAGGAAAGAGAATTAAGACAAAAGGAACCTCTTTGCATTTCTGAGAACCTTGTCAAATCTGCCCACATTTAATTACTTCCCCTCTTTGCATTTGCAAAAGGGACAACTTTTTTCTTCTTTCATTTGGTTTCACGCTCACGTGTTCCATCGTCCTCGCTTGCTGTTTCTTGCGTGAACCATAGTTGATATCATCTGTCTTCTATGACCCAGCCTCCCAATCCCAAGAGAAGGTCCCTACCTCTCCATGACTGGAGATCCGGCCTACCAGAGGATCTTCTCGAGTCCATCGGGCAACGTCTCGCGTCAGGCCACGACGCGGCGTCCTTCCGATCCGCTTGCTCCCCATGGCGCGCCGCCGTCCCGTTCGCGACCTTCGGGTCGCTCCTGCTACTCCCGTTCGACCCCGACTCGAACCGCGTCGGCTTCTACTGCGTCCCGGAGAAGAAGGTCTTGTCCAAGACGCTGCCCGATGTGCGTGGCAAGGTGGCATGCGACTCCTCGTGTGGGTGGCTGGTGCTCATGGACGAGACGGTGTCTGTGACGCTGTTGAATCCATTCGCCGGTGCTCGTGCCCCCCGCGTTGAGCTCTTGCCAGCAGGCGAACACGTCGCGACGGCGTCCTCATCGGAACGTGTGTCTAGGGTCCACGGTCGGTGGGTCCTCCATCCCACCAATGGCTACGGGGACGCGGATGCCGCAGGCAGAGCCATCAAGCTAGAAGACATGAGGGCCGCGTTCTTCCGTGAGATCGTGCTCTCGGCGTCGCCTGACGCCGCCGGCCGCGAGTGCGTGGCCATGGCCATGCTTGGGTGCTCCACGGAGGTCGCGTTCTGCCGGGTTGGAGTCGACAGCGCATGGACGCTGCTCGACACCAAACTAGAGTTCTCCGTGGGGTCCATCGTGCACTGCCCTGGAGAAATCTCCGTCTGCAGTAGCAACGCTGCCGGCGCTACTCCAACCGTGACGCTGCTGCCATCGCTGTCGCCACCGCAGCTACCTGGAATCAAACGATGAGTTGCACATTGTGAGTGCCATGGTGAGCACGTTTCACGAGACACAGAGCTTCACTTACAACAGCGCGATCTACAAGTGCAACCTTTACGACCGTACGCCGGAGTGGTCCAGGGTGAGGGACATCGGTGATCAGACACTATTCGTGTCTAAACATTTCAATGAAAACTTCAGTGGAATAAGTGTATCTAAGTAAAAGGAGAATAAAATCTACATGTCTGAGCCATTGTATGAGGATCCATACGACTTGGTCCATTGACTGGAGATCGTTGATATTGCTACCGGTGCATCCGAAGTGAAGTCCGTCCAGAAAAAGATGCAGGGTTCCGAGGCTCTAGGTTGGATTTGACCCAATCTCTGGAAGCTCTAGAGTTTGTGAGCCTACGACGCCGCGCACTCCGTGACTATGTTAAATTCATAAACTTTGCTTTTTGAATTAAATGTTATTTTAACGTTAGTATTTAATTTAATAGTATTGTTATCTTATCGTGCGATCCGTGTGTTTTTAGTATAAATGGTTAGTTATCCCGTAGTACGCAAGAGCACGTTTCCTGGTCCTACTTATAAGGTTAAACAATTTTGTTTCAGGATTGCATGCTGATGGACGTCAGGCTAGATCCATCGTCGAGGTCGAATCAGATCGGAACTCTGGAACCGGGACCGGACACCTCCAGGAAACCTGAACCAACTCGTGCTCGTCGTAGCTACTTGCCCCTGAAAGACCGCGCAATGCCATACGCCGTCGACGATCAGTTTCCTTGTCTCGCGCCGGACTGATCAAGGAGCAAATTCGTCGCTGGAACTCGCCGGGATCTTTTGCCGCGTGAGGTCGCAGCTGCATCTGCATCTGCGTAGGGCCTAGGGCGGCGGCACACATGGCGCTTCCAGTTCTTCCGATCACAGCCCCGCGCGGAGGTGCAGCGCCGTCGTCGTCGTCTTCCCCGGTGGACCAGTGGACGAAGCGGCTGCAGGAGGCCCAGCGGCTGGTGGACGAGGTCGCTGAGCGGGTCGCCGAGAGGGAGCCGTCGCTGCCGCGCGAGCTGCACCGCCGCACCGCTGAGATCCGGCGTAAGGTCGCCACATCCTCGGGACCAGGCTCGACATGCTCAAGGAGGACCTGTCTGATCTCCCCAAAAGGCAAATCATGTTAGTATAGAAAATTTTAAAATTCCCTCGTGTTCTGATCGATTGATTGACAAAAAGAAGACATTTTTTTTTCAAACTCAAAGAGAGAGAAGAAACTATAACATGATGACGGGTTTTCGTGCGTTGCAGAAGCTTGAAACAGTTGGACAAGCTAGCCGAGAAGCTCGCCGGTGTGAGTTCCAAGGCGCAGGAGGTTGGCGGCCAGTTCAGCATGAAGTACTCCTCGGACAGGTGAATTATTTTATTTTTTCTGCGATATATAAAAGATTTGCGTATCATCGTAACTAAGAAGAAGAGTTTAACCATACACACGACATATTTCTAATGAGTACCCTAGAAGGTCTTACAGTTTTGACTAGACCTTTCTACTAGACTGTTTTGAACTTCGATATTACATAAAAGTAAACAATCGAACTAAGCGTAGTAACCTACGGAGCTGGACGTCTCTGCTACTGGCCGCGTGCTCCGTCATCTGAGAAGAGTCTTCTACCCGTCCTAGCATTGGTCGCCGGGAACAACACGTCCAGTGCTTCTACTTCGCTCGACGTCAAGTTCCTTGCGAATAAGTCGTCGTATGCTCGCTTGGACGCGGATGAGATTGGAGCTGCCGGCGGTGCAAAGCCCAACCTCTGCATGAGGAGCACCTCGCCTCGCTTGGAGGTCGTAATGTGCGCCAGCGGCTGAGCGACAATCCGTCTGCTCCGTTTTGACGGGGGTTGCCTTGTGGTTGCCACCTTCTACCTTGGTGGGCTGACGATTAATGGCGACATTCGCTTGAGCCGCACCTCCTCAGTAAACCGTGTGAGACGCCCAGCAGTTTCGCGTGGTGTGGGCGTCGCGTCGCTGGAGGTGGTGCAACCATCTGCGACGTCGGGTGCTCCCGCTCGTGGTGGCGTGAGCTGTGGCGGCCTCTACACTGGTGACATCAGAGACAAGTCTGTCGTCCACTAAGCAGCCGTCGCCGGAGAACAGGTGTCCGCCACTGGTGCTTCAACCTCCTGAGGGGCTGTCGTAGCAGGCAGACACTCAGGTGTTGCTGCTCTCATTGACCGACTCACGACGAGCGAGGTGGCAAGCTCCTCCAACATCGGGTCGAACGAGACGACCCATGAGGGAGGTCCCGCGCTCGCACACAACGCCAATGCCAGCGGATCTAGCTCAAGGAAGCAAAGTGTAGTAGCAGAAGAAGCGGCGTTGTCGGCAAGCGCGCCCCTGCTAATGTCCCTCACCGGCTTACTCCGGCGGCGTCGGCGTCGGCAGCGTCCGCGTCGGCAGGTGCTATCGGCGCCCTCCATGGCCCCATGCGCGGCCCCATCCAAGCTCGGTGGACCACCGTGTGGCGCCTAGGAGGCCGAAGGGTCTCCACGAGCAGAGTGCCGTGGCAGGTTGGCACCCGTCGTCGCTGACTTCGCAGACCTGTGCCGCTTGCGGTCCCTAGCGAGGTGGCGGTAGCCGTAGCAGCACAGGCAACATTGTGGCAACCGGCAAGTTGCGACGTGGTGCGAGTAGGAGAGACAGTTAAAGCATCTATCGCGAAGCCCTGCGGGGATCCTCCGTGCCTACGGGAGCTGCTTTTGGCGATGCTCAACCGAGGCAGTCACAGGTTGCATCTCCTACCGTGGGAGGATCTCCCGCCACCCATCGATGTTGGGGGCGGAGATCCTTCCGCGGCGACTAAGGCGTTGGCGGGCAGGGATACGACCATCCAATGGCCGAGCAGGCAAGCCATGCACCAGCTAGGGGCGCGGCCGGCTGCGTCTCCTCCGTCTTCGCCTAGGTCCCTGCCGTCCAACGTCCACCACGCCACGGCCTCGAGTCATGATCGGACGAGTCTGGGCGCACGACGGGGACGCATCTACCGGCTTTGCCGGGCGATGAACGGCATCGAGGTAGGTTGTAGGGTTGTTGTCGTCGGACTCGTCGCCATCATCGTCCGCCCATCGACGGCTCTTCGTGCGCCCACCAGAGAAGCGACCTAGGTGGAACGGGGCCACGTCCGGTGAGAGAGGGGAGGGGTTGTGGGACGCATGAAGTGCCAGCCGCCGGTAGGACGACGCGCATGACGTCGGGCTCGCTCCCCCACTCCCAATCAGAGGCGACATACTATCGTCAGGCACGGCCGACGCCTCGGCTGCTATTGACCCAGGCGAGGTGGCCACAACGGCGACAACCGACACAGGCGACAACGGGGGTGGTGGATCGCTGGTGGAGGACCGCGCTAGCCGCTGCAATGTGCCGCTGACCTCAGAGGACGTGGACCCAGACGAGGGCCGCGTGGCTCGAGATGCGACCCCACAGGGGCTTCCCGGCTCTGGCGGCAGCCGCAGCTGCTGCTACGGGCGGGGCGCCGAGGTGGCTTCCACAGCCTTCTGCGCGACGTGGCCGTCGTCCTCTTGGCCACTGGAGATCGCGGTGGAGCCCACCAGAGGAATGGAGGGGGTGGCGACCGCAACAGGCTGAGGTGGGGGAGGGGACTCGTGACGACCAGCTCCACGACGGCCGCTGCCGCCGCCAGCGGCGGGGAGGTACCAGGAGCGGAGAGAGGGGCGGAGGCGGCCGCCGTGGTGGCTCTCTGGCCGTGGCTGGCGCTGCCTCCGGAGGTCGGGAGGGAGCCCGCATGGTGGGAGATGGTGCCTCATGGGAGGGAGCGGTAGGGGATTGGGGGGAGTGGAGGCGGCGGGGAGGGGGAGCCAATTGCGGCGGCTCTGGGCAAGCGTCGTCATTGTCGCCGTCGCCCATGAGGTCGAGGAGGAGGAGAATTGGCTTGGGGTATCACGGTCCTGTGGAGCTCGCGAGGCGAGAGGAGGAGGGGGGGGGGGAGGGGAGGGGGCTTCGGGCACCGGCACCGGGGAGGCCGCCGCCGAGGGCTAGGGTTCGGCGGACATGTCTTGGCCCTCAATCGTTTTTTTCAGCCACACGGTGAATTATTCTCCTAGTACATGTGTATATATATATATTATAGTACTACATCATGCATAATATTTGCAGCTTCTGATAATCTCGAGCAAATTCTTCCTCGTCCTGAACTGAATATATATGCAGGAATGACTTGTGTGGATCGAGCGAGAAGAGCGCAAAGATAGATGTAAACAGCATTGCCGACATGGACAACCATGAGATGGTCAAATTGCAGAGGAAGGTCATCAAAGGTAAGCCTCTGCATGGCTTCCCAATACTTGTAGATGTGATATGTCATATATGTATGGTAAAGTGAACGAGCCCCTTTGTTCATGGTTCAGAGCAAGATGCTGAACTGGAGATCCTGGAAGAGACTGTTACCAGCACGAAGCACATTGCGCTAGTGATCAATGGGGAGATGGACCTGCAAACTAAGCTCATTGTAAGTGTCACTTTTTTTTAATTACACAAGTACAGACGCAGATGCTCAACACGCACGTCCACTCACCTCTGTGAACACATACGCAAACCTTACCCCTATGAGCACCTCCAAAAGACTGTACCGGCACATCTCGAGACTTTGAAGCTACCTTCCCTACTGTGGTCCCTGAAACAGAGCTGCAGCTAGTTTCTGCTTTCGGAGTTATATACTACCTGGTTCTGAATCACTTTCACTTGAACGTTGCAGGAAAACTTGGACGAGGGGGTTGAAGAAACAAGCAACAAGCTGTAGGTACATGTCTCATCGATCTCCCTAATAGTTTTTCACCCTTCCATGTGATGAATACAGGCCCGATCTTCCGAGAGGTAGCCGGTAAGTTCGATTTGTGGAGATCTCGACGATGGCGATCCGGCTTCAAATCAGACACGATTCGAACCTTGTAACCGTTACACCACCGCTCCGTTGGTTATCAACCAAGCACAACTTGATTGACCTCGCCAAGAAGGCTTTTCCTGCAAGCGAATCGAAGAGCACAAGCAAGAAGGTAAAACACGCAATCTGAAATTGCAAATATGAATGATGCGAATATCAATAGAGGGTTCAAGAACTCGGTTCCAAAGGACTAATCGACACAGTGGAGGAGATCAAGAACGGGGGCCCTAGATCACTGTAAAAGGATTTGTCACCACAGTTACAATGAACGATTCAGTTTCTCGATGGAAAACTAAACTCTAAACAAAACCCAATTGTGTAGCAGCGGCGACGGCTGTGTTTATAGTCTAAGACTCGACCTAGGGTTGGGGACGGCCAGGGGTTGGGCGCCCACAACTTGGGCTTAAGGCCCGACACGATACATGGCCAAGTTGGCCCAAATAGGTGACGCAGCACCTTGCCGTGGTCACACAGAATGATCCACGGACCTTCTGGAGCTGGGACCAGATCCAAAACGACGGCGTCGTCGTCCTCTTTCCAACGCATCCGAGAACGGCCCGTTTCGATGTCGTATGAGAAAGTTATGACCGAAACAGTGACGACGTGTCTGCTGAATCCGAGGGCGACGTGGCAGCTGAGTTGGGAACGAATTGCAACTTGGGGAGGACCATGGCGTCGGTGTGTCCAGCATGACGATGTCCTCATCACCATGGACCAAAACTGAGCTGCTAAGCCTAAGCGGCTAAGCAGCTTCCTCCGAGCTTCAGATGAGCTTCTAATATGTTTGTTCTTGTCCGTGTATACCTGCAGCGTGCGCTGAAGAGGCTGAAAGCACTTAACACGCGAATGAGGAAAAGCAGTTCTTGTTGGGGCATTGTGTTGTCGGTCGTTGCCGTTGTAATCTGTGTTGCCATAGTCTGGGCTCTGACTACAACTACCAAAAGGCCTTGATAAGTTTCTGTAAGCATGGATTTTAAGAAGAACTGTACAGTACAATGACATTGCCGACTGACACATGTTGTCTATTTATGTATTCCGGCTTGGTATATGTATTGAGCCCGCGTAACCGTTCCTTTTGTCCCTATTTTGCTTCTAGAGCGTCTTTTTTCCTTTTTTACGAAACAAATGTGTACGCACAGCTGCGGCTGTGGCTTTTCCCCCTAATATTTTACTGTAGCTGCAGCCGCTGCGGCTGCAGCCGAACATGCTTTTCCCCCTCACATTTTGTTGTCTATCACTCAATGAGTAGCAGTATAATGATGCCAAAAAAAAAAATGAGTAGCAGTATTTTTTCTAGAATAAATCCAAACAATATTAACATATATACATCTTTTATTTTAAATTGCAAGTCGTTTTGACTTTTCTAAATATAATATAGATGTTGCTATGCACTCAGATATACTCCTATGTCTAAGTATATGTCTAAGTAAATATATACATAGTAAAAGTAATGTATCTAGAAAAGATCAGATTTAGAATTTGGAAAAGAGGAAGTAGAATTCCAGATAACCAGGTTTCATAAAAGAAAAGCCTAACTGGCTAACCAACTGATCGAGTGTCTTATAGTCTATACTATAAAGGAGCGAAGGAATTAAAAATAACTTTCACCCAAAAATTCCTTACCCTAATATCGGGACCGTTCGTAAGGAAAATAGACCCTATGCCTATTTACTTTAGATTTTGATGTTTGATGACCAACACAACTAAATTGGACTAATGGATTTGCAAATAATTGTTTTGTAGTTCAATAGTATGCAAAACATGACTTGGACAAATGCGACGTGATGATCCGATGATCAACACCTCAAGAAAGACATGCGAAGATGCATAGAAGACATACAAGGTCAAGCAAAGTCCAAGCACGAAGATTGAAACCAAGCCAGAAGCAAGATCGCGAAAAAACGAGCCCGACAGAGGTGACCGGACGCGACCCTATGAGTGACCGGACGTGTCCGATCAGGTGCTAGGCAACAGCAGGCGTCGGCAGCTATAACCGGACGCTGACCGAACGCTGAGCGAAGAAGTGACCGGACGCACCGGTGGCACTGTTCATCGTTACGGCAGTGATTTCAGTGTGACCGGACGTAGTAGACTGGACGACTGGACGCACGAAGTGCAGCGTCCGATCGAGTCCAGAAAGGTTCCATAGCGGCGCCAACACGACCGGACGCGTCCGGTCGATGATCACCGGACTCTAAGCCGAGTCCGATCAACGCGTGCGCTCCAATGGTTGGGATGACAGGACGCGTCCGGTCAGGACGTGATCAGCGTACAGTCAGTAGCAGAAAGCTAGGTTTCATCTTCAACATCTACTTTCTTAGTGGGGCTTATAAATAGACCCCCCAACCGGCCATTTGTGTTGTGTGGAGCTGAGAAAACATACCAAAGGTGTTGATACATCATTTTAGTAATCTTCACTTGTATAGTGCTTAGTGATTCATTAGGTGATTAGCGTATGTGCTGTGCGAAGTGCTTAGGTTGATTAGACCACCGCTTATGCGCTTGCTCTAGGTTTAGGCCTAGTGTTTAGTGAGGTTTGCATACCTCTTACCACTCGGTGCTTGCGCGCACTATTATTGTACATCGGAGGGGCTTGTAATCTTATGAGATCACACCAACCACGTTTGTGGTGTGGCCGCCACCGTGTACCGGAGGGAACAAGGCCCGCGGCGGTTCGGCCGGAAGCTTGATAGTGAAGACAGCGAGGAGCGGTCTAGGAGAGGCTTGCTGGAAGCTACTCTGGAGACCTACTTGCGCGTGGGGAAGGCCCGGGGCTATCCACGGAGTTACCCGACCGGGAGCTTGGCTCTTACGAGGGATTTCTTGCGAGGGGCTCCAATGAGGACTAGGGAAAAACTTACGCCCTTCTCTATACCTCGGTAAAAATACCGGAGTCATCGATGGGAGTTTGCATATCTCTACCTTACTCTTTAGCTTCCGCATTTATATTGTTTACATAACTCATTTTGCGGTAGAGATAACAACACACTAGCAAAACCGTAGTTGCACATTTAGATAGTTTATCTTTTGCATAGGTTTTGCTAAGAATAGAAAAAGATGCCATAATTTCGAGTTAGAATTTTAAGGCCCCGTTCAAATGGTATCAGAGCCGGTTGGCTCAATTTGGACCTTTGGCTTCACCGCCATTGAGTCGACGCTATTTAGAGTGGTTAGGATGGATACCTCTAGACCTCCATACTTTGATGACACTAACTTCCCTTACTATAAAGCTAGAATGGCTTGTCACCTTGAGGTGGTAGATTTGGGTGTTTGGAGAGTCACTCGTGACGGGACAAAACCCATTAAGAATCTCGATAAACCCACAAAGAGTGAAGAAAAAGAAATTCATTTCAATGTTAGAGCTAAAAATTGCTTGTTTGGTTCTTTTAGCATGGATGTGTTTAACCAAGTGTTCACTTTAAATACGTCACATGAAATTTGGTTAAAACTCCAAAAGCTCCATGACGACACAACTAATGTCCGTGAGCAAAAATATTATCTAGCTAAACAAAATTATGATTCATTTAAAATGAATGATGATGAGCTTGTTCGTGATATGTATTCTCGTTTGAATCTAATTATCAATGAGCTCCATTCAATAGGATTAACAAAGCTAGATGATGCGGACATCGTGAGGAAGATCATCTCCGTGCTACCATAAAAAATATGCAAACATCATCACCATCCTTCACAACATGGAGGACTTGAGCACCATGACCCTGGCCATAGTCATTAGGAAGATAGTGGCATTTGAAATGTCACGCAATATGGGTCAAGAAGAAGCATCTTCATCAAGCAAAGGCAAAGCTCTCGCATGTAGTGAGAAAAAGAAGATGAAGGGCAAGCAAGTTGATCATGTGTCTAAGACTAATACATATCTAACCCTTTATATTCTAATGAATGTGTTTTCATTCTTCCAATATTCAACCACGTACATCTAACTCTAATCTTCTTCCATATATACCTTTGATCTCTCGTATCTTTTAAACCATAGCTTTGTTTAGTTGTTTTTGTGCTCATACGTTCGTAGTTACAAGCCTACGTGTTTAAAACCTTTATGTTTTGTTTTATAATGCTTGATGTACTATTTTTAGGTTATCATGATGTTTGTACCGGTTGATTGCTGACGTTAGAAGTGGGAGCTATGCAAGGATGATCAAGAGATGAATGTTAAGCTTTTGGAAGGCAAGTGTAACATGAGTTCCCTTGTTACCCAGTAATCATTTAATCACCTTTTCATATGCATGTGTCTAATATGATGAACCATAAGGACTTTACCTAGAACATTTGTTATCCTGTATTCCTTGTTACCTTTGGGTTATGCATATGGGTAGTTTTGCTTACCCTGCAATCATCAAACTATTATAATATTAATATTGATTAATGGATTATGGAATCAATGTTAAAATGATGCTTTTTAGCAACATGGATAGAAGGGGGCTAGAGCATTGGGCCTTTTTGGGTGCTCTAGTCTGCCCTCTGTAAGGACTGAATTTTAAAGCGGCCACCCAGGACTTACAGTACAACCACGAGAACTACATGGCTCTGGTCTTAGCCCAGTATCTTGATCTGTTCTAGTTCGTTAGCAGCTTACCGAAAGGGCAAGAGGGGGGCACTAGATGGGTTGGGTCTTCTCTTATCAGGGTGTGTGCTATGCCACGACCATGTGTGCCACTTCTGAAGGAGGGCTCCAACGGCTAGACAGCTTAAACCTTAGCGGCTGCTACTTATTAGAATGACTAGTGAAAAGCTTCGTAGTGACCCTACCGACCTACCTTGGAAGTAGGTCAAGAGGCTAATCACCTCGGGCGAAAGGGCAATCACGACTTGTGGTGAAAGTGTACAACCTCTGCAAAGTG